GCTCAGGGCCCCTGGATTATCTTCTGTATCTCTGTAAATTGGCTTTTTGTTTCTTTGTTGGAGAGGGTCTGTGTAGCCTATCTGCCTATTCTACCATCTCACCAGCCAATTCTTGTGTATGTCAGTAGTTCATTCTTTTCCACTGCTGTGTAGTATCACACTATAAGAATGCAGAACAACATTTATCCATTCTCCTACTGATGGACGTTCAGGTTGTTTCAAGTTTATGACAATTATAATTAAGCTGGTATGAAAATTCTTATATATTTCTTTTGTTGGACATATGTACTCATTTCTCTTAAATACATACCTTAGGAGTGACATTGGTGGGTCACAGAATATGCTTACATTAAGTTCAGTAGGTAATGCTTGTTTTCCAGTGGTTGAAAGAACTTACACTCTTACCATCAAGGTATGTGAATTCCAGCTGCTCCAACTACCCACATTTGGTACTGTCAGACTTTTTAACTTTAGCCCTTACATGTGTGTGTCTGTGTGTGTAGTTTCTCACTTTGGTTTTAATTTACATTTCTCTGACAATAATGATGTTCAGCATCTTTTCATATATATAATGACCATCTGGATACCCTCTTTAGTGAAGTATATGTTCACTTCTTTTATCTATTTTTTAAATTGGGTTGTCTGCCTTTTTCTTATTGACTTGTAAGTATTCTTTGTATATTCTGAATACAAGTCCTTTGTTAGAGCTATGTATTGCAAATATATCCCAGTTTGTGGTTTGGAGGTTTAGTACTTCCACAGGCTGCTGTGGGTCGACTCAAAACGGGTAGAAACAGACACAAACATCCATTAATAATTAGAACATGGAATGTATAAGTATAAATCTAGGAAAATTGGAAGTTGTCAAAAATGAAATGGAATGCATAAAGATTGATATCCTAGGTTAGTGAGCTGAAATGGACTGGTTTTGGCCATTTTGAATCAGACAACCATATGATCTACTATGCCAGGAATGACAAATTGAAGGGGAATGGTGTGGCATTAATTGTCAGAGAGAGTGTTTCAAGATCTGTCCTGAAGTACAGTGCTATCAGTGATAGGATAATATCCATACACCTACAAGGAAGACCAGTTACAACTACTATTATTCAAATTTACACACCAACTACCAAAGCCAAAGATGAGGAAATTGAAGATTTCAACCAACATCTGCAGTCTGAAATTGACCGAACATGCAATCAAGATGTGTTCATTATCACTGGTGACTGGAATACAAAAGTTGGAAACAAAGACGAGTTACTAGTAGTTGGAAAATATGGCCTTGGAGATAGAAATAACACTGGAGCTTGCATGATAGAATTTTGCAAAACCAATGACTTGTTCATTGCAAATATTTTTTTTCAACAACATAAGCAACAACTATACACATGGACTTCATCAAATGGAATACACAGGAATCAAACTGACTACATCTGTGGCAAGAGGCAATGGAAAAGCTCAATAGCTTTGGCCGAAACAAGGTCAGGAGCTGATTGTGGAATGGACCATCAACTGCTCATATGGATGTTCAAGTTGAAGTTGAAGACAATTACAAGTCCATGAGAGCCGATATATGACCTTGACAATATCCCTCCTGAATTCAAGACCATTTAAAGAATAGATATGATGCACTGAACACCAATGACGAAAACCAGAGGAATTGTGGGATGACATCAATAAAATTATCCATGAAGAAAGCAAGAGGTCATTAAAAAGATGAGAAAGGAAGAAAAGGCCAAAATGGATGTCAGAAGAGACTCTGAAACTTGCCCTGGAATGGAGAGCAGCTAAAGCAAATGGAAGAAATGACAAGATAAAAGAGCTGAACAGAAGATTTCAAAGAGCATCTCGAGCAGACAAAGCCTATTACTATAATGAAATGTGCAAAGACCTAGAGTTCGAGAACCAAAAGGGATGAACATGCTCAGCATTTCTCAAGCTGAAAGAACTGAGGAAAAAATTGAAGCCTTGACTTGCAATACTGAAAGATTCTATGGGCAAAATATTGAATGATGCAGGAAACATCAAAAGAAGATGGAAGGAATACACAGAGTCACTATACCAAAAAGAACTGGCCGATGTTCATCCATTTCAGGAGGTGGTATATGATCAAGAACCAACGGTATTGAAGGAAGAAGTCGAAACTGCACTGAAGGGACTGCCCAAGAACAAGGCTCCAGGAATTGACAGAATACCCATTGAGATGTTTCAATATATGGATGCCCTGCTGGAGGCACTCACTCAGTTATACCAAGAGATTTGGAAGACAGCTACCTGGCCAACTGACTGGAAGAGAGCCATATTTGTACCAATATTCCAAAGAAAGGTGATCCCACAGAATGTGGAAATTATCAAACAATATCATTAATATCACATGCAAGTAAAATCTTACTGAAAATAATTAA